CTGTCATTTATGCAAGCATTGCAAAAATGGTTTAACTTTTACAAATGATTCCAGAGATGAAATTTGGCTAAAATAGAACTTGCCAATGAGTATTCAATGTGTGTTCTCCACAAATTCATCAGAGAACAACTCAATGAATGTATAATTCAGAATAGCCTAAGCAGTAAATGAACAGAATAATATGTAGAATGTAATAATATCAAGTACATTACTTTACCATAAATTTCAAAAACCAAACAATCTCATGAAACAGGAGCCATTCGTCAACTTATTAAAGTTCAGAAACAGTATAATAAACAATGAAAAGTTATTCGTAATGTAAAAGAACAAATTTCATTTAATGAAACAGAAAACTATATCACTTTTTGATTTTGATGAAATGTATTGAACAAACTAAACAGATGATGCTAAAGAGAACCAAGGAGCATAACATAGGCATCCAATAGGCAAAATTCAATCACAACACATCATCTCACAAAAGGCAAGAATTTAGACATCAATAACATTGAGAATATTGATAAAAAATCTAGAGATTCCAAGACTTGTTTGATAAACATTAAATATAAAATTAAGCAATTATGTAGAACAAGTTCACAAATGCATATGAGAAAATCATCAATAGTATAAAAAATATCTGAGCGTATCAAATATAGTCAATGTATGGCTTGTCTCAAACATTGCACCTTCTTGACACTCCTTTCTCATCTTCTCTCTTCCTTCATCCCTCCTCCCCCCTCCTCCTATTCTGTCTTTCATGTGATAGCCAGTTTAGCCTACACAACTGTCGCATTCACATGAGTTGCACTCAACATGCAAGCCAAAACTACTACATAATGATGCATTTTATTCTCACATAACGTAAGCCTCCAATTATATATTTGCCATGTTGCTTCCATCATTATGTTTTAATGTTATTTTAATTGTTTTTAATTTTAATAATGTATTCTCACCGAGTACCTGATAATGAAAACGCACAAGTTTCTTAAGAAAAATTAATAAATGGAAAATGTCCAGTTCATAAAAGCTATGCTTAAGAATACCCTACGCTCTGGTTATTTTTATTTTCTTGTAAATTACTTATATAGTACAGAGAAAGTTATGTAAAGCTACAGTGAAAAAACCTTATTTTTTGTCAGGAAAGTTTGTATATTAGGTACTTCATACTGAAAGAGGGAAAATTCGTATTGGGTTTATTTATTTGTGTGTGTGTTGTGTGTGTGGCGTATTGGGAATTATTTCATATAAAATACTTATTTTCATAATTTGAAAAGAACTACATTTTAAATTTTAACACAAATTGAACCGAAATGCATCTGGAATATTCATGGTGTTTCCAAAGATGTCCCTCACCCACCTTTAAGATTTCAACCTCACATAATAATTATTATTGAACAAAATTTGTATGCTAACATTATTCTTTGGATAATAATGGTAACATGTATGACATGTAGCAAAGTTGCGAAACAAGTTTTGTTTTAGTGTATGATTATTCTGAACTTATCAATAGGCCTACCCTCCAATAACGTTTATTGTACTTGTTGGTACATGTTTGTTGTGATTAAAAATGAGTTATTAATTAACATTTCAATAAATAAAATTATAAGGTTTGTAATTATCTAAGAACTAAAAATCAGGTGGTATTTTTGTTGGGGGAAGTTTTGCCAAACCTAATAAAAACCATATTCACAGAACTACAAGCTGAAAAATGAACATCACTTGACAGACTAAGTTCCGTGATAACTTATTAAATTTGATGAATACGCATAATATATATGCGACATATGCATTATGTTACATAATGCTGAAGACATTAAGGTCATAAGGGGGATTAGCATGCGACATGATTTAAGGCACCTACTATCTTTCAAAAGAAGCCTGAAAGTTAAATTTTTTTTTATCTGATCTATCCTGGTTAACATTAATGGATACCAAATACAAATAAATTCAAAACTCTAACACTTTCACTTATCATATTATAGGTAATGATTAAAATTCTAACCTTCTATTCTGAAATCCTATACGAGATAACAATATCCATTGTCAGCTTGGATAACAGAGGTTGCTAAGGCAGTAGGGTTCAAATCCCACATCATGTGTTTGTGTGTGTTCGTGTTGTCTTTACTACATGTATTCCACCTACAGATACCCCAATGTAAACAATTACAGTGGCCGCTACATGAGCTAGTTAAAAAGCAACTTGACTCTATTATAATCTTATCATGAAGTTAAAAGTAACTTCCAATAGTGTCATATTTTTACATTGAGAAATTAATCCATGGCAAAATGATATATAATATGATTGAGAATCTTTCTACAATGTTTGCACCCTATGTTCAATCAAACAATGGGTTGCCTATTGAAACGTTCTTCACTCATGGCTTTAAGAAATTTGTGTTAAAATGTAGCATGTTTTCCAAAATAAAAATTTATCATCAACAATTTTCCACTTACAACAAAAACCCTTCAAATAAAGCAATGTATCTAATTAACATAAACACATTTTGCTAACAGTTAGTTTAGTCTTTTGTAATTGTCTACGATAAGAAATAACATCCTTTTAACAATCAAAACATGCATTCACCACACATCTAAACTTTCTAATAAAATTTTAGTTACTTTACAGTTTTCATGGTCTCTGTTTTATTGGTAAACCTGGAAATATGTCAGTTCACTCTATCAATTGCTTGGACTCATGGTGTAATTGACACATGTGTATGTACAAGAGATATACAAACATAGTGACAACGAAGTGTTCTCATATTTCATGCACTAAAAGAATTTGAAGCTGCTCCAAATTCTTGTGTCAATGATATGGCCAAGAAATGTGACTCCTGGTAATAGTGATGTGTTGAATTTGCTACTTCCCAGATTTGAAGTTAAAAAATGCCTCCCATGGAGTAATATTTCTTTCAATTTTTAATATTAAATAATCTATAAAGTAACAAAATAAACAATTGTATTTTGTTCAATTAAAATCAGAATACCTTTGCACTTGCGAAAGGCTCCATCTTTTCATTACAGGCCACAAATAATCTATTTCAAAATTAAAACTTAAGGAAGTTGAATGCAATAGTGATATTATTTGATTATTAAATTGAAAATTACATAATACTATTTTTATACGTTACATTTTTTAGAAATGTTGATGAAATTTTCATCAAGGAACACATTCATTTTCTCTTATTTATAAAGAAATGTGGGGTCCTCACGCTGTACTTTTATTTACAATAATTTCAAAGTTACACCATTTCTACAAGTGTTTCAAGTAATACGAATTCGCCCGAAAAGAAAACATTACATATGTTTCGTAATCTACGATTGCAGCAAAAAAGTTCACAGAAACTTGCTTTTTCGATGCTCTATGTCTGTACTCATGACATTTTCCCTAACCTAAACTGTATTATTCTTTTGTTTTGAAATTGCATTTCATGCGCTATTAATGAAATCTAATAACTTACACGATCAAAATAAAATTAGCAGACTTTAAAATTTTATAACACATTGTCACTGGAAGAGCCAGGAGAGGTCTTGCAGTGAAAGATTGTTCCTCTGTGATTTTACGTTTCACACCATTTCGCACTCGCAATCTTTCCAATCCCTTGTGGAACGTTCTGGAATCTGGATCCTTTGGAAGAGCAAGAATTTCTTGTCCGATTTAAATAAAGTGACTACTGAAGTACGGTCCCAGTTGCTAGGAGGAACATTATTATCCAATCAAAAGCTTCAATACCAAACATGTAAGTTGTAACGAAGCTCCCAAACAGCGTAACACATGGAATTTGTCAATATATAAATTATATTATATTATACCTATATTTAAATTACACAATAGGTTTCAGGAAGTGCCGAGTTGGGAGCCGACATTCATCCGCCATCTAGTAGCAAGTATATGCTTTATTCGCGAGTTTACGCGCGCCGTCGTGCGGACGTTTCTAAAATCATTTTTTCCAATGTACCCCAAATTTTTTCCTCTTAAAAAACTCTTGCAAAGTAGATATGCAGACTATTAAGTAAATAATTTGAATTAACACAATTGTAATATACTCCGTATAGGATATTAAATACCGTTTAAAAATTTTACCTCAGTGCATCGAGGAAATCTAATTCTAATTTATACTAGAATCATTTTCGAAATGAAAAATATACTTTTTCAATAAACACTGTATCTAAAGTGGTTTTCATATCCCTTTTAATATATTGAAAGTTTCAATACCGTATAAAGGGCACTACTCTGTCGTAATGAACAATAAATTGCAATACTCTATATTGCAATTTAACACCATTACAACATACATCGAATTGGAGATACTTTCGTTTGAAAATTACACCAGTTTATCGATGAAATATGACTTACTAGAACATTTTTCGGTTAAAATTTAGTATACGGTACACTCATAAAAGCGTGGCGGCGGGGCTCAAGCCTTAATTACTGTACGTGCTCTAATAGAAATGAATAAAACTTACGGATATGCGATTTTCATGGTCCGCCCTTCATTTGCATTGTCTCCGCCGCACTGTATCGCCAATTTACTTTCAAAGGCCAGTTTTCTCGCTTCGCTCGCCCGGATCCAAGTCACGGTGAGGCTCGGGCCTTCGGCCCTCGCGTTCACTATAAACATCCATGAGTCTATCTAACGCAAAATTACCAATTCACTTTTATAAGACATCACTTTTCAAGGAAGCCTCCAGAATTCTAACTGCGTAGTTAACGCCGGAACAGCGCGAAGTGCCGGTTTAAACGACGTCCGTAGGTTGTACCGTATACTACATTTCAACCCATTTTTCTTAATGAAAGGTATGTTTCAATAATCATTGTTTAGTAAATTAAAGAGTACGACAACTTTATAGTTAATACTACGTTGTAGTGAAATTCTGTCAACACATTTGTTATTTAGGTTTTGGTCAATGTGCAAACACCAGCACCTTCTCCTTCAATCAAAGAATGCACCAGATTATTATTAGCTTAATTGTAACTACATTTGCTTTCCGCAAATACGTACCTCTGAAATGTTTCCCCACCAATTATGGAGAAACGTAGTTACCACGAAATCAATCCTAGAATATCTTCACTGGTCATTTAATATATTATTGACTATTTCACTCAACACTTTGTTAGGAATTAAAAACAAATTCTGCCTTTGTCTCTAGGAGGACATTTATTAAATCACTGCATACAAGTCACTAGCATTCATCCCTGGAACCTGAAAAACGATAAAAAATGAACATGAACAAAATGTTACCTATGTAGACTAAGTCATTAAAGACACAATTGCATTGACAGACATCGTGCGTAACACACGGAATCAGCTGAGGAATCCTACAGGTCTCCACCGGTGCGTGCATGTGGTAAATTGTCACAGAACAAACGCTTACATGAATCAACTTGTCACCAATCAGAAACACCTCTTCGACCGCCGGGAATCAACTACACTAAAAATACTGTTTCTCGTCGGCATCCGCACTACACAGAATCACACCATGCAATAATTCCTCACTCCTCGACTACTAGACGACGACTAGCGGCGTGGCCGGCCGGAGAGTCTACCAGTGGGGAGCCGAGCGGCCTGGTGGGGGCAGAGAGGGAGGGGCCATGTGTGGAGCTAAGTCAACCAGTATGTCAACCAGTGTGTGGAGCGGGAGGGGGGCAAGGCGGAATGGCGCCCGGCGTCGGCCATAGATGTGACAAAGAGCGGGCTTTTCAAATTACAGGCTCCCACCAATAGCGCGAAATATTCACAGCCTAAGCGAAATGTTCGCAGCGGAAGTTTCACGTCACACGGTGGCTTATGAGTACGTTCAGACAGGCGAGCGACGCGGTAGCGTAAATGCAGCGTTTAATCCGCGGCGGATTTTGTTTAGCGATTGGACGCGGTTTTTTGGTTGCCGCTCGAGTTTCGTTGTGGAAACCAAAGCTATGTCTAGCCATATGTCCAGTATTTTCCGCTCGACAGTGACAAGATTAAGTAAATACAAAAAATTATTTTGAATCATGTTCAGAAATTAATTTAAATAACATCAAAATCAGATTTTAATTTTTTGTTCTTAAAATTTGGTGTATTTTATTATATATAATTTTTATTGCAATTGTTATTTCCATTAAAGCAATACTCTTTCTTACATTAGTGCAATAGCAACTCGCTCTTGAGGTGAGATAGCTTCACGATTGTTGTGTCAGATTTTCGTAGTCGTCAGCGATCAGATTCACAATTTCATCAAAACAGTCACTAGTCTTTCTAAAGTACACTCATAAAAGCGTTACTCGTCTTTTCGAAATTATCAGCATCAAGATATGAAATTCTCCGTACTTTTTCCTTTCTAGGCCGATATCATTGACATTTACTTCGTTTCCTAAAAATAGATTAATAATTAGATAGAAAATCGAAGATTAAGCAGGTGAAACCATCGTATCGCATGTGCTCAGCAAACGTGCTATAGTACACGTACTATGCAAGTACTATGCAAGTATTATTCAAGTACTATGCAAGTATTATGCAAGTACTATACAAGTATTGACCATCTCGCATTCACACCGCAGAGTAACTCCCAAATTGGAAGTTAAAGTCTCCTGGTAAGAAGAGTGTCGGGTGGCAACTCTGTCCAAGTACTTTTGACCAGTATTATTCCAAATACGATACTGGGTTTCTACGTGAAAGAAAAGGTTGTGACTACATGGCAAAAGCTTCTTTCTATTATTAAAGACAAAATTAATTTCCCTTGGGATCCCAAATCTTTATTGGGAGTTATAAAATCGAGTTTCAAATGGAACAAATGTCAATCACAGCGACGGACGCTGATACAAACCGAACATAGTGAATTGGAAAGCCAGATACAATGTGCAGATAAAACAATTTACGGAAGACCACCAAGATATACATGTGAGGGGTATCAAACTTGCAAGGCCTCAAGGGCCACAACTAAAATTTTTAACATGGTTGCTGGTCATTTGTTCATTACTCTGGCGATCCATACCTTACTTACCTGCATTGTTGAGCTCGGCACTTTGCCCGGCTGCTCCAAATCTGTGTGTGTGTGTGTGTGTGTGCGGGGGGAGATTAGAACAATGCGTGATATCAGGTCGTATTATGCATAACGTAGTGAAACACATTGAGATGATTTTCAATTTTTGAATTTTCTCGAAAAAACGTAACTTAAACTGTTATTAAATTATAGGGTGTGTTGACGAGGGAGCGTGTGTTGCACACAATCCGTATATAGATTCTAATATAGATGAAAGAGGCTTTCACTTTTGACTAATAACCTTTCACGGGACAACAATAGCATCGCGGGCCGCAAGTAGGATTTTTGATTGATCTATGTGGATGAGACATGAATTGACAAAAATCTTAAATTCCAAAAGTGTTGCCAGTAAGATGACGTTTTGAGTGTCCACTTAATGGTAATGGGGAAATGCAACTAGTAGACTAAATTTTTCATACAGGAGGAAAAAATTGATTTCTTTGCAAAACTTCTGTAATTTTTTGAGCTGTTAGTGATGTGGGACCAAGGTCTAGGGGCTACCAAGGCCAAATGAATGACATTAATTTTGAAAAATGGGCGCGTGACAAATTAATGTTACATCTGCATGAGCGTACTGTTGTTGATCTTGAGAATGTTTCATATTACAATATGAAAATTTACAAGACACGTATTCAAGAATCGTACGCGTATTCAAGAAATTTTGATATGATTGCGTGGCTTAAAAAAAATGCATTGTGAAGAGACGCCTCGAATGTCTCGATTGGTGTACGGAAAGTATCGAAATCGCACTCACGCACATGATAGAAAACAAATGGTATTACCACAGCATAAACAACTACACAAACCTTCTCACATTATTTGTAGCTTTTGCAAATTTCCAATATTGAAAGAGTTCATTGAAAATCGAACTGCGTCAGCCCTAGAATTGTCTTTCGTACTATCTGAGAAAAAAATAGAGACAAAATTTGGAATCGTATTTGAAAAAAAATTTTTTTTAATTAATTGCTTCTATTTCACTCCGAATTTCGCGAAAACCACTAATATATTTAAACTCGTGGTGCTAAAACTGCACGAACTTTCTCGCCCGTATTTTCACGCAAAATTACGCGAAAAGTAATCAAATTTTCGGAAAATTGTACATGACCTTACTTCAAAATATATCTTTAAAGAACAGATTTCATTAATGGAAAAATCGCAGCATTTAGTAGCTTTCTCTCTATTCCGTAGCGAGAAAGCAAAACTTGCACATGGCTTCATATAAAGATCTAATTTTGAAGAACACATTTTTTACGAAAAAGTGTCTAACTTCAATATTGTAATAATAAAGTAGCTCACAAAATCAAAATATTTGTTTGAAACTCGCAGGGCTTCCAGGTCGTTCAGAGCTTTCGGGGAATATCAATTTTGAAGAAAATCTTCTGAATAGTCTAGAGAGGACCACAGACGGTTGGTTTGCCGTCAACCAATTTAAGTGGTAATTCTAGAACAAGCTTTTATGTGTGTTTCCATTTACTTAATTTCAGTGTTTTATTTAGTTACTTTAATAAATGTGAAGTTACTTTAAATGACGATATTCGTGTCTCGGAATCATGTACTTAGCAGTGATCTGCAATTTCGCATCATCGTTTCGCATTACTCATTCAAAAAAAGTGTCATTCATCATCATCATCATCTATTAACGAAACCTTAGATTAAAGGCGGTTCCACATATTCGTCATTCGCTGAGTAGCGAGCTTCTGCTCTCGCATTGCCGATTCTCAGTAGGTAGTGCGAGCACCGAACGTTCGTCCTTCAGCAAATAGCGAGCAACCTGTACAGCTACTCGGGATTCGGAGAGCAGTCGCTCGCTACTCGCCGAATATCGAATGAATGTAAGTTTGTTTTGTATTATACTATATACAGTAAAACTTATTATTATTTTTTTATTAGCCAATCGCATCTCCCATTAAGGGCAGAGGCCTCCTGCTTTCGCAGGGAATTATTAATGCTTCTTTAATGAAATGATAGGAGGGTGAAGGTTGAAGGGACGATTACAAATACATCCATGCCCGAGAGGATTCAAACACGCGATCCTTCGATCCGAGATCGCCAAGACACTACTACCTTCGCGATCTCGACTATCCGGATCGACATGTAAAACATATGGTTTCTTAAAACATATTGTTTCTACAACAATATAAATAATTTTTGCGTACAAATGGTCCTTTACAAAACACCATTTTTACTAGTAATAATCGCCGTATTGAAATGAATAATCTAAAACCGGTTATTTTTTGTAACAACTATCCCTACCCCTCGTTATTCGGATGGCTCCCTTATCTACTCTTGGAAGAGAGACGACAGCTGGGGAAAGAGGGCGGCGAAGGGAACTCTGGAATGCACAGCGCCTCCAGTGGTTGGTCGCATCTCTGCCAATGCCCTGCCCTCCCGCCGTTCCCACCCTCTGAGCACGCGATGGGCGGCGCCGGCAGGCGCGTGGAAGGGGCTGCGCCGACGTACGCGTTCAACTGGCGCTGCTGCAAAATGGCTCAGGCTTTCTCGCAATGTTTGCGGAGCGGCTGTGCAGGGGAAACATTATTGATATAAGAATTATATTTTAAATTTATTTTCCTTATCACGTAATATACGTATGTTGGTTCTAATAGAAACCTGAAAGTATTTTTGACTGGCACGCGCGTGGAATTTGACTGGGCTGTAAAAACTCACGAAGGCGCCGGATGTGTGTATCACCCACCGCCCACGTCTGCGGTTAAATGCCGCCGCCTTTTAAAGCCTCCCGGACGCGGCTTCCGTCGGCGGTTGCTATGACAACCGCGACCGCCCGCGATAACAGCGCGGACACCACACCGCTGCTGTCGTGCTGGTGAAGTAGAGGCCAAAGAAATGTTTCTTCCTCAAAAGTTTCCCTGCTATAGCTTTTCACCTTACTTCACAGCCACGAGCCGCCACTGAATATTTGAAACAGCTTCGAAAAGTTCTCTCTCAAAAGAACTCTTCAGCCATCGTTTGCTAAACTCTTTTCACTGCACTGCTGTACTTTCAGAGATCTCGTCCATTTCCTCACCTCTGAAACCCTCTTAAAAAATCATTGCTGAATCAGAGGACAACAATCAATATCTCAAAGCTGCAGCTAATAGACCCGCACGTCTTCTTGAGCCCTGGTTACCTACCCCTACAACATTAGTTGAATTCCGTATAAAAGATAGCAATAAGTGTTGACAAAATCTTATATCCAGAAATGTTCTCTTCTGTGTAATATAATTTGTTTTACTTCAAAAAACGAGCTTCGGATTTGATGTAATAGCCCGGTCGTCGAAATAACCAAACCCTACTCCTCTCGCATCCATCAAAATGACGGCTCAAGAAAACGTGCGCGGATAATATCAGTAGCGGTTCGTATAAGAATTTGAATATGATCCTTCAACTAACACCTTGGTTTGCAGAAACCTCTCCTGGCGCATCTTAACATGGTTTAACATTTTAATACCTTGATAACAATGATCCTTGACATACTCAACGATAAATTTATTAG